GGAGGAGGGAGAGGAGGAGGAGGGAGAGGGGGAGGGGGAGGGGGAGGAGGGAGAGGAGGGGGAGGAGGGAGAGGAGGAGGAGGGAGAGGGGGAGGGGGAGGGGGAGGGAGAGGAGGGAGAGGAGGAGGAGGGAGAGGAGGAGGAGGGAGAGGGGGAGGGGAGGGGGAGGGGGAAGAGGGAGAGGAGGAGGAGGGAGAGGGGGAGGGGGAGGAGGGGGAGGAGGAGGGGGAGGAGGGAGAGGAGGAGGGGAAGGAGGAGGGGGAGGAGGGAGAGGAGGAGGGGAGGGAGGAGGAGGAGGGGGAGGGGGAGGAGGAAGAAAGTGGAATGAGATGCAAATTGATTCATGACTGCAATAAACGTAGGACTGGAAAATAAGAGCAAAACAAATTTATATGTATGGACATGGATGTTTAGAAGTAATTTGACAACATAAACACTTAGCAGAACAATATATCCTGCTGACATCCTAGAGTCCACAGTTTATGAATTTATGAGGTTTTGACCATATTTACTCTAATGGGTATTTCTTTAATTGGCACTTCTTGATAACTGGCCAGTATTGTATTATGAGGGTTCAGTGCCAAGTAAGATAGTGGTGTATTCTCTCTCCCAGAAGCTGCTCTTCTTCTGTAGTCTTAGACAATACATGCTACTTTCACACTTAGAGTGAACATTTGTAGAGAATACCATAGTATGTCTCCTTTCTGTCATGGAAACACAAATTAAATCTACTCCATCTTACCCCAATTAGAATGGATATCATCAGGAATATAGACAAAAACAAGTCTTGGGTTTGAATTATGGGAAGTGGAGTTCTTATGCAGATGTTGGTAGGAGTGAAGTCTAGTGCAGCCATGTTGTTTAACAATACGTATGTTTCAAAAAGGACTAGAAAGAGATCTGCCACATGGTCCAGCTATACCACTTCTGGGTATACGCCCAAAGTATTTTATATCATATAACAGAGATACCTGCACATTTATGTTCATTGCTGCTCTATTGACAATAACTAGGAAATTTCATCAAACTATATACCTATCACATCAATTATGGCATTATACAATGTAATATTACGAAGCTACAAAATAAAGTGAGATTATAAAATTTTAAAATGAATGGATGAAATGAAAGAAAATATGCTGAGTGATGTCATTCAGGCCCCAATCTACAAAATTTCATATGTTCTATCTCAACTGATGGTACTGGCTTCAAACTTTCTATATTGTGTCTTTATCATAGAGTACATGTTGCATCTAGGAAATTAGAAATCACTATTTGTGAGACTTCATTTAGAGAAAAACATAGTAGCATATAGGCTAAATGGGAGTAGATAGGGACAGTGATGAAGGCAGAAGGTAAAAGGGGTGTGTGGAATGGGGGAAGTGAAGGGCCAGAGGCAGACTTTGAGAATCTCATTTTATGTACTCCAACCATGCTCATTTCCCAATCCTCCCTTCCCCTCTGACTTTCCCCCAGGAAAAAAACCTAGGTCTATTTTGTGTGCTCCATATGTTCACTGGAACAAAGTCAAATTCCTAGTGGCCAGCCCCTGAAGAGAGGATGAGTCTTTTTTTACTTGCATCTAACCCAGAAGCCGTCAGCTGTGAAGAGTCATGCAGTGGCTATGGCTGTGCTAGGCTAGCTCTCCAGCACCCCCCTCCTGCTTAGACTTCAGTACTATGGGCCCAGGAGTGTCAGGACTGGCTCTCCTATGTCCATAGATATTTACATGTCCTCAGGTGACAGTACTGACTATGAGGAACAAGTTTGGTGGTAACTTGGCCACAGACATCAACATGTCCTTGGCCATATCAAGACCACAGACCCACTCATAGTCCTCAGGCTACGAGACTCAATATGAGCTCAGATGGTTACACATGCCTCTCACATCATATGGCTCCCTGAATTAAAATAAAACCCCTCAGAACACCATCAAAGTATTGGGCAGTGGCTCAGACTGAGTATGTCCACATGGATCAAGCTTCATTGAGGTTTTATGCAGCAGCATGGACCACTGACATCATCATCTCTTGGTATCTCAGACTGTGATGGTCTTTCAAGGAGGTCCAGCTCAGAAAGTGAAGCTTTCCTTAACTTAGGTCTTCATAGTTGCCCAAGATCTAGAGGGACCCCAAGGCTGTGTGGCAGGTTTGGGGGCTGAGTTTGTGTCTGCATAGGCTCAAGACTGCTGTACTCCATTCCACAGACCGCAAATGGCAAAGACAGCATGTAGACCTCAGTCCTCTCTCTCACTGGCACAGTCATCATGTCTCCAGTTACACCTTTTTTTCTCTAGTGCAGACACCATTTTGTCTTCCTATCTTTCCCACCTCTCCATCACATATTTGTTCACTGTAATGATGCTTTGGTGGCCTGGGTGGAACTTGCTAGGGTGGCTTCCATCCATATTCTTTAAATTTGCACTTTATTTTATCATTGCATGGTACAGTTGAAGTATAATATAATTATTTCTGTCTAACTGAGATTAAAAATGATTGGAAGGGGCAGAGACTGTCATTTCAAATTAAGTATTACTCTCTACTGTATCGATTTTCAAAAGACAACATTCTCTAGGCCAGTTGGTAATCTTTAGTGCATGCACTGTGTAGTGTAGGGACTTGGGGTA